CCTTAGCCTTCCAGTAGCCGGAATTACAGGCATGCGCTACCACGCCCGGCTGATTTTTTGATTTATTGTAGAGATGAGGTCTCGCTGCCCAGGCGGGTCTCGAACCCGTGGGCTCAGGCAATCCACTCACCTCAGCCTCCCAAAGGCTCGGGATTACAGGCTGAGCCACCGAGCCCGGCTGGGCTGAATCTTAAAGGGTATCAGGAAAAAGTATGGGGCTGAGAGTTGAAGCAAAGACACAAGTGAATAGGGAAGGGACCCCTTGTCCTCTTAGTTTCCGAAATAGCCTCCTGAGTCACTGGGAGAAGGGGAAGCGTCCCAGTCCCGTCACTGTTTAATTTTGACAACCTTTTGCAGATATGCTGTGTAGTGGTGACCACATGAGGAGCTGTTATGACTAAACGGTCGCGTTTACCAGATATGCCCCACCACTTTTAAATATAACTTTTTCCTCATTTTCCAGGCAGTCTAGAGTATCTCAAATGATAACCACAACCCCCCTGTATTCATTTCCTACAGCTGCCATAACAAAATACCACAAACTGGGTGGCCTAAACAGCAGAAAGTTATCATCTCACGGTTCTGGAGAATAGAACTCTGAGATCAAGGTGTCATCAGGGTTGATTCCTTCTGAGGATTGTGAGGGAGAATCCGTTCCGTGTTTCTCTCCTAACTTCTGAAGGTTGGCTGGCAAGCTTTGGCATTCCTTGGCTTTGTAGATGCATCACCCTGATCTCTGCCTTCATGCTCATGTGGCATTCTGCCTGTCTGTGACCAAATTTCCCCTTTTCATAAGGTTACCAGTCATACTGGATTAGGGGCTCATCCTACTCCAGTGTGACCTCATCTTAGCTAATTACATTTGAAAACTGTATTTCCAAATAAAGGCACATTCCAAGTTACCAGAGGTTAGGACTTTAATATACGATTTTTGAGGGAACACAATTCAACTCATAATGCCCCCTTTCCAACTTAAGTTCTAAAATTTAACGGCAAATCTTAATTTTAGAAAATATTACTAACAATATAAGCTGGGTGCAGTGGCTCACGTCTATAATCCCAGCACTTTGGGAGGCAGAGGCAAGAGGATTGCCTGAGCCCAGAAGTTCAAGACCAGCCTGGGCAACTTGGCGAGACCTTGTCTCTACAATAAAACAGAACATTTGCCAAGCATGGTGGCACGTACCTATAGTTCCAGTTACTTGGAAGACTGAGGCAAAAGGATCGCCAGAGTCCAGCAGGTGAAGGCTGCGGTGGTTGTGCGTATGCCACTGGACTTCAGCCTGGGAGACAGAGTGAGACTCCAACTCAAATATATATATATATATTCGACAGAGTGTGACTCCAACTCAAATATATATATATATATATATATATATATCCAAGAATAGAAACGCTTTATCCGATTTCCATGAGTTAGTCAATTTTTTGTTTACTCATTTACATGAAATAAGCATGTCTGTTAATTCCACAGTATCATGAATTTCATGAAGTGTTTGGAAATTTTTTTTTTTTTTTTTTGAGTTGGAGTCTCACTCTGTCGCCCAGACTGGAGTGCAGTGGCACGCTTATGGCCACCCCAGCGTCAACCCACTGGGCTCCGGGAATCCTTCCGCTTCAGCCTGAACTACAGTAGCCAGAACGACAGGCGCCCGATACTAATTTTTTTGATTTATTGTAGAGACGAGGTCTCACCATGTTGCCCAGGTTGATCTCGAAGCCATGGGCTCAGGCAATCCTCTCGCCTTGGCCTCCCAAAGAGCCACCGCACCTGGCCAAATGCTGATCTTTTAAAAAAAGATATTTCTAAACACTTCAGTATCCTAAATTAAAATGAGCAGGTTTTAGTTGTTGACACAGACTGTGTGATCAGGACTGCTGACCTTTGAAGCACTGGTCAATTCCATAAAACAAGAATATATTGAACTACTGTTCAAACATGCTACAAAAAAATTAGACACACTGCTGGGCACGGTGGCTCACGCCTGTAATCGCAGCACTTTGGGAGGCTGAGGTGGGTGGATCGTTTGAACCCAGTAGTTCAAGAACAGCCTGGGCAACATGGTGAGACCTGTCTCTACAAACAAATAAAAATAAGTTAGATGGCTGTGGTGGTGCGTGCCTGTAGTCTCAGCAACTTGGAAGACTGAGGTGGAAGGATCTCCTGAACCCAGGAAGTTGAAGCTGCTGTGAGCCCTGGTTGTTTGCACTCCAGCCTGGGTGACAGAGACCCCAACTCAAAATAAGTAAATAAATGAATAAATACATAAAATGGGTACAAAAACATCTATTAGTTCCTGATCAAATGAAAGGATGAGCACTGGAAATTAGTATTTGTTATCTATAATCATTTGATACTATAGTCTTATCTGATAAAATAGCTTTGTATTGGACTGATGATAATTTCTACATAAATCAGTTTTTTGTTGATGCTGTATTTGCTTATTTTAGGTATCTGATTAAAAGGACAACTTTTAGAAACACTTTTTTCTCCACTTACAAAATGGGACCAGTTTCTGCTACCTAGATATTTCATTACATCTTGATCTGCTCTGTACTAAGGTTCACAATATACAAACCCATAATCAAGAGATAATGCAATTTCTGATATCACTCGTTTTTGACCCAGAGGAAAACAATTTGCTTCCGTAAGTCGTTCACACCCCATTCATTTACAGAAGCAAAGGTGCTTTTGTAGAATTTAATAAGCAGATGCAAGCAGCTACCTGGGAAGGGCAAAGCATCGAGTTCAATCAAGGATCATGTAACCTGATGCTATTACTGTTCTCTCTAGCAGTCCAAAATAGGTTTCATAATCTCATTATTTCCTGTCCTCTCGTTGTGACAGGTTCTGTTTTTAGCACTCTTGGTACAGAAATTAATTATCTTGGACTGTTAGCCTGGCTTTAGTTTTCGGCTTTCCGACTTTTAAGTCGCTGTGAGAGCAACTATGTGCAGCGTCTTAAAGATTTCTGCGTCTGGCTTGCTTTCCCTACCGGTTCCCTTCTCTCACTCCACTGGCTCGTGCCCTTTTCTTTTTTCCCTTTCGCTTAGTTCCCTTTACACTCCAGCCGTGTAGGGGGATTTAAATTCCAACCCGGAACTCGGAGTCGCGCGCTCTGCATGACGGAAGTCGTAGTTTTCGCGACTCCTCCCTTCCCGCCCGTCACGCCGATTCTTTCCCGGGGCCCGAGACCACAGCTCCCAGAATGCTCCGCGGGCCGGGCCCGCCCCCGTGCGCACGCGCCCTGAGGCCGCAGGATTTGAATCGGCGGCGTTGTTATTGACGCCATATTGGGGCCGGCGGCGGTGGAAGAGTCGTACGGGGGCGGGGGAAGCGGTTGGACGTGTTC